TGAAACGTTGGTTAACATCGACCAGACTACACAGCGCAACAACCCAGAAGACGGAAATCTTTAAGGGAATATGTTTAAAAATTTAATGGAAAATTTCATTAATGGGTCATTTAGGATGGGGAGGGGGGGGAGAGAATTAACTGGTAAAAAAATCATTATTAAATTTTAGTTTCTGTTTTTGGGCTATATGTCCAGCCAATCATATCCTCACAATAGTCTTTGTCTATATTTTGTAACAGTGTAGAAGTTGACTGATAGTTCAGAATGCTTACTGCCTCCATCATCGGCACAATGACTTACCGCCCTGACGATGGAGGCAGCCTGTCAGTTTGTACAGGATTGCACAGCTTAATATCCAGAAGACTATCATCTTCGTACTCACCACTGTGAGAAGCTGAGATCTGACGAATGTTTCAGTGTTGGTCTTTTGGATCGTAATGACATGTGACATCTTTCTACGACATTGCAACCAAGATTACCTGAACTGACAAGCGAACCTCAAATTTTACATAGTCAAAGACTGTTTCACATAAATCTAGTTTATGTAAATTAACTAAGTCCAAGGTGTAAGGTACTTCTGGGAACTTAATAGTGTATCAGATGGTCAAGAAATTACCCATCTGTTACAGATCTTGAAGGTTTAGTTTAATATTCATATTGCCAGTTTAATCTAGTCCATACTTTATTTCTTTTCTTTTTTATAATTTTAATATTATCCTCCCATCTACACTTAAGTCTCCCAAGTGATCTTTTCTTTTCATCTCCTTTTTCAATGAACCTGCTTTTATGTTAATTAGGCAGATTAAATAAAACGTTTGTTTAACAGGTGATGCAATTCGCAGAGTAGAGGATGAGCATGTTAACCTGATCCAGTCGATTATGGAACGGTGCATGCGTAAAGAGCCACTACTCAATGAACTGTATCTGCAACTTGTGAAGCAAACAACTGATCATCCGGACCCGAACTCCAGGGTCAACTTACGTCACTGGGCATTACTCTCACTGGCTTGTTCCGTGATCCTTCCGCCGCAGAAGACTGTCCGCAAGTACCTCATTGCGCATCTCAAACGATGTGCCAGTGACTACGTCACTGAGGAAGGCAAATACGCTCGATTTGCAGAAAAGGTGCATATCTACAACGGTGTATTTATGATAGAAGCAACAGACTGAAATTATGGGATATAAGAATATAAAAGCCATTTTTGTTTGTTTACAGTCGTTGAAACTTTTTTTTTCAAAGATGAGATGTGACTTTCCTCTTACGTTAGCTGACATAAATTTGTCAGCAGTGGCGCTAGATGGTAGAATGTTCTGTACAGTACCCCATAGAGTACGCTGATTTTTCAGACAGGCTTCGGTTTTGCAAGACTGATTTTCTCGAGTAGAATAGTTCTGTGAAATGGATATTGTGTATTATCATGTTATAAAATGTGGGTATAATTGTGTATAATGTGAGGTTTAAAATAAGTGTGGTATATTCACATAAATGGTTAATAGACAATATGGCATGATTTGTGAAGTAAAAAGTGTGATATAGTGGCAAGGAAGGGTGATAAGGAACTATGATAAAGGGATGGGAGAGTAATACTAAAGGAAGAAGGGAAGAAGATGAAGATACAAAAGGGATAAAGTAAAGGAAGGGGAAGACAAGTGACTCTAGAATGAATGAATTAAAGTAATGGAAAAGGGAGAAGGGAGAAAGGAGGGAGGGATAAAGAAAAGCAAGAATAACGATGAAAGAAACTACTGCCTGTTTAGTTTTATCAGGCTTCTACACTATGGCAATGATATAATCAAGGTGTAGTAGGATGCAATGAAACTGGCCTCTAAAGTAGGTAGAAATTATTTTCAATTTAATCAGTGATTTATACGAGAAAAATTAAGATATTGTAGATGCGTCATATTGTGATTTATAAGTATTAAAAATATATTAAAATTGGCCGTCAATCACAATATAAGATAATTAAAAGAATTATTTATTTTAATCCGTCTTATCACAATATTTAAAATTTCTTATAATTAAGATAATAAAATATCATTGATGTTCCATATCGATTTATTAAATATCAGTAAAAATCAGTAATTCAGTTAAAAAGTTTATAATATAACACCTGATGACGGCTATATATAGCCGAAACATGTCGTAAATGTTCCACATGTAAATCGAGTACTCGATAAGGAACGTAAAATGATATTTTAATCTTTTAATTATCTTATATTGTGATTGACGGCCAATTTTAATATATTTTTAATACGAGAAAAATTATTTACTCTAGCATGAATTGCGGTCTGTTCCATCTTTCTAAGCATTTTCTATATTCCTTCTCATTGCCAAATGTTTTTAAGTGTGTTTATTAGGGCATGTGGTTGATAAATATGTCAAAGGTTGTATTGATTCAATGCTACTGGGGTATGAACACTCACATACAACACGTGCGCGCGCGCACACACACACGCTGTCACCAGATGCAGTACAACTTACACACTGCATTGGTCATTTCAAGTGCATTTTCAGAATTTTTTTTAAAAAAAGAACAGGTGTGTGTTTTAAGATATTTTGTATCACAGCAAAGAGTGTCTTTCATTGCTTAGAATTGCTTGCTTTCTAATTGTAGTTGCTTTCTCTCCCAGTGCTTATATAAGACTCAAGGCACACGCCGGCGGCAATGGCCACCATCCCATGAAGAGATAATGTGCACCATTAACAGGCGTCCCATCTACGCAAGATTTCATTTCATGGACGGCCAATATCATGCCGTTGAGTTCCACCCATCTGCTACTGCTAAAGATGTCATGGAGATAGTAAGAAACAAGATAGGTCTTCGTGAAACAGCCATGGGTAAGCTTCTGTGATCGGTAACTATTCTGTACTGTACTTTTCTCTAACTGACTTCTCTAGCTCCATGGAGTCCTTTTAGAGAAGCTAATGGTCACTCAGCTACTCCATAAATCCCTCACCTTTCATTGAACTTGTAGTTTCGTCACTGTTCTCACAGGAGCTACCCATCCAAGTATGAGACTCGTGATATGCTGGCTTTTTGCTATGAGGAGTTTTTAGCCCTTCGCCTATTACAGAGTTGGAGGACCACCCCTTGTAGATTTCTGTGGCTGCTTACTTAATATATGTACACTGTGTGTTTCAGTTAGAATTAATCATGTTAGGTGCATTATCTGTTACTATTAGAATTCAAGTATTATTGTCATGTATTAAACTGCTTCAACTTGACAGCAGAACCACACTGTAAATTAAGAGGCTTTAGTAGTACATGTGTTGGTTAATTTTTACTGCAAAGGATGGTACAGCACAAATATACTTTGGTATATGACTTCTGTTTCCGTCGTCTTCTCGTCCAGGTTATGCTATTTACGAAGTTCTGGGCAACTCGGAACGCAGCCTCGTACCGGAAGAGAAGGTGGCAGATGTGATGTCAAAGTGGGAACGATATCGTTCGGCAAGTGCCGCAGCGAGCCAGGCATCTGGTACTGCAACCTGCCGTCGCCAGCATCACTTCTTCCTCTTCAAGAAACATTTGTTCCTTGATCAGTACATGGATTTGGATGATACAGTGGAGAAAGAACTGCTTTATCACCAAGTTCTGCATGGTCTGAGATCAGACAGGTTTCCTGTTACAGAAAATGAGGCTGTAAGTCTAAAATAGCTTCTGTAATTGGTTTAACTACAGTACTGGTAGTTCAGTAGAGAGAAATGTTGACTTTTGGGTCATATTTCTGTGGAGGTCAGTTTTATTACCTTTTAAAAAGACACTTTTCATGCCATAGGACACTTCAATTAGTGGCATTGGTCCTTCTGGTATGAAGCAAGGTTGATAAAAGAGACAATCTAAAGAATGTAAGGAAAACATATAAAATGTTTCAAATGCCAGACTTGACGTGAGCTCAGGCTAACAAATAAGTCCCCCAGTATAACCAAAACATAATTTCAAACTAGACCATTCAGCCCGTTGAAAACCCAGTGTAACGTACCCGCACCTGGGCCAAAGTCAGACATAGACTGCGTGAACTCTGCAATAGGTGAAGCCAGACACTTGGTGAGCTGTCAAGGTTCATGGAACATCATGGGAAGGTAAATAAAAACCACGGGGCATGGCTCAAAGCACCCCACAACACTCATTTATGTAGCCATATGAATGACTGGCAGTTTATTAACAAAAAGTGGCCTAACCCATTCAGACTTAAACAGGAGCATTTGTGCCGCTTTGGTGCTGAGAGACTTATTTTAAGGTAATGTATAGCACACATCAGAATTGCTTTGCAGGGAAAAGCCAGCCTTGGAAGAGCATTCTGTTCCTTCTGGAATGAGACCCCCCCAAGTGGGATGAAATAATTAATATGTAAGATAAGGAAGAAATGTTAAATTATGTATTTCAACTGAGGGAAACCAGATGAATATGTGAAAAGAGATAAAACCTCTAATACTGAGCCAAGTAAGAAAGTTGCCTCAGGTGATAATGATTCTGACTTGTATTCAGGAGATGCTCAGTTTGAATCTCGACTGTGGCACATGCAGATCCTCAAAGGAGTTGGATTTTTTCTATTATTATTCTGTTAGACTCACAGATATTTTGTTTTAAACTATTGGTACCCTGGTAGGATATTAATATATCGATGAAATAACAAGGAAATGAAGTGTGTATCTTGTGAAAAGGATAATGATGTAAATAGGGACATTTTGAAGCATCTTTAGATATTTCAGTCTGATTTTGATATTGTGTGGGATTACAAAGACAGAGTGGTGTCATAAAAAGAACTATTTTAAATATTCCAGATTTCTTACAAATTTTCAGGGGGGTGTTACTAAGAAAACTCACTGCCTGAGTCGTCATATTAAGATCTGTTGCGCATCCCTACAGACATTCCTGGGATACTAGAACAAGATAATGAAATAAGGAATAATCTCATATATATTGATCACCTGATGTCCATATTGAAACACACCATTTACTGTGTATTGCAGGTGATGCTCGCAGCTCTGCAGGCTCAGTTGGAGTTGGGAGACTGTGGCGATATGTTGGAAGACTACCGACCTATAGCTAGCCATTGTTTACCACCAAGATTTGTTCCTAACATACCACATGACGGTGTAGCATTACACCATCAGAGCCTGCGTGGAATGACATCTGCTGAAGCAAAGAAAGCTTTCCTGAATCTTATTCAAAGTTGGCCACTGCATAGGGCTACCATATATGATGTAATGGTAAGACAACTTTTATTTATATCTCTCTCATGTCCCAGAACGTTTAGTACATTTTCACTTAACTTATTGTTCCATTTTGTGCTATTAGTTTCTTCGATGATAATATCAGATTATATGCAAACAAGAATTGGAATGTGAAATCTAGTATTTGGGAGGCCCCGGGTTCAAATCTTGGCCCGTGGACCGGCTGTCCCGACTGGGGTTTTTCGTGGTTTTTCTTCGGTCCTTCCAGGCAAATGCTGGGATAGTACCTTAAATTAGGCCATGACTGCCCGAATTTATAACTTGTGTTGGGCAAGGCCGTGGTCTAGGCAACACGGAGTTTTCCTCCGTGGCATCCCAACAATTACTCCATTCACACACAGAAGAAGGCAAGGGCAAACCACTTCTGGATCATCTGCCAAGAACGTATATGAACAGGTCCCAGCCCGAGAAAAGGATGGAAGGATCCTGCTCATCTGTCGTTTGATGACAAGATTACTTATTCAGACATTGTTTTGAGGTAATATGGCAAGGCCGTGGTCTAGGCAACACGGAGTTTTCCTCCGGGGTCTTCCCCGGTTTCTCCGTGGCATCCCAATAATTACTCCATTCACACACAGAAGAAGGCTATGGCAAACCACTTTTGGATCATCTGCCAAGAACGTATATGAACAGGTCCCAGTCCGAGAAAAGGATGGAAGGATCCTGTTCATATGGACCTGTCGTCAGACAGAACACTAAATAAATAAATAAATAGATTTATATATGCACTAAATGAAGCACCAGAGCTGGCTTGAATACACCAGTGAGATTTCAGTGTTTTACCGTGTCATAAAACTACTTGGAAAATTTATGCTAAAAAGATTTATAAATGTTCCTGTACCATTGCTCCCCTGTGTTTGTGCTTCCTGTCAACAGTGGATCACAAGGGGTTAAAGTCAATTCTCTGTTAATATGCTGGCTTTTTTTTTCAGCAATCTTTCACATCCAATTGGCCGCGTGTTCTGTGGCTTGCGGTCGATCAGGATGGCCTGCATCTCTTGGAGCATCGGTCTCGTAATGCTCTTTGCACTTACGAGTATGATAGCATCCTAAGCTACAGTCCTGCTCTAAACTGCCTCATGATTATCACTGGCAGTGAGAAGAAACAGAGTAAAGTCATTCTCACCACATCTCAAGTATGTATTTTTCTTTGACGATTGTAGAAGCTGTGATAATGTCATCGGATAAGTGAAGAACTATTCTGCACTTTCTTGATGCGGTCAACTACACAGACAAATCATTCGGCCATATTGCACTTAACAAGCTTGTTTCTAAACATGTCAGTGTAGAATTATTTTTATTTCTAGAGAGAAAAGTTAAAAAAATAAACTATCTCTATTGATTTGGCATCTTCACTGAATTTGATATTAAAACTTCAGAATTTTTATGCAGATTTCTACCTCCACATCCCAACCGATGCTATCACTGTGTAATGCTTTGGTTTAGGAATTACTTTACATTTTACAACACACGGTAACCAAGAAAATTGGCAAAGTTGTAACGTTTTAGACTTGTTTTCAGTTAAAGTTTTGACTGGGCTGTCAGTGGCTTTCTTTAATCTTGCAAAGTGAATGCCGTGACAGTACCTTGAAATAGGCTATGATAACTTATTCCTACTCACCATTCATGATCCTCTTCATATTTCATTTGATCCTGTATAACATATGCATTTGAAATAGCATCATAAAATAATACAAGAATCAAACAGTTAATTAAAACACTGAAGGTCAGATAATTAGCACGCCCTGAGTTTCTTTGATTTGTGAATTATTTGGATGATACAATATTTTTATTTTCCGTCTATACACAAACTTAAAATAATGTTGTTTAAAATTATTTAAAATTATAACATTCTCAGTAGACACTGCATCTTGTTACATTTTTTGTATCGACGACATGTTTCAATGTGTATCACATCATCATCAGGTCTATCAATTTTAATATATTTTAAAAACTGTTGTACATTTTGCGTTGCGTTTATTGATTATTTTAATTTGTTTAATTTTAAGTTTTGATCAATTACAACCCGTTATAAAACATCCAAGTACAACCTCCAAATCAAAAGGAAGAGACAAAAAACTTAAAATTAAACAAATTAAAATAATCAATAAACGCAACGCAAAATGTACAACAGTTTTTAAAATATATTAAAATTGATAGACCTGATGATGATGAGATACACATTGAAACATGTCGTCGATACAAAAAATGTAACAAGATGCGGTGTCTACTGAGAATGTTATAATTTTAAACAACATTATTTTAAGTTTGTGTATAGACGGAAAATAAAAATATTGTATCAATAAAACACAAACATGACGCAATTAAGATATAAATTATTTGGATGATGTTATCTGTTCAGTACTGTATCATTGCTTCCAGGCATTCCAGATTGCTAATCTGATTCGGGAATACACTGAAGTTCTCCAGCAGTCCCCTCAGCAAGTGAGACGTAGAGACAACAACGCAAAAAAGCGAAGTGGTACCTCTAGTCGACCAGTTAGCATTTTGCACAAACCTGTGCCTGTCATAGATTCTGTTGCAAGTTAAAGTTAGTATTTTTAAAATTGGGACGTTCACAAAGAAGGCAAGTCAACTAGTCAGCATTATATTCACGCTTACACTGTCTCCTTGGACGTGTCATTGGAAATGAAGTTGGAAACAATCTTGAGATATAATTGTATCACAATTGTCAGTGTCTGCTGTATTGACGTGAAGAAGTTGATTATTGTTTAACAGGTACAGTTGGAAGGATTATCGGGACACTTATTCAGTCTGCAGAAGTATAACGAAGATGTTCTTGGTGGGAATTTGAAATCTGACAGCACTGTAAACAATTTGCCTAGTCATTATGTATGCGTGCGTGGTACTGAATAATTATCTGTGCCACATTCTTATCCTCGCTGTGCAATGTGATGCTCGCAACAAGATGTATGACTGAGTTATAAAAAAATACTTGTTTTATCATTGACTGTGGACATTTGAAAAGATGAAGTGTTTACATCAGTATCATATTACTCTGTGGCCAGATATGTCGTAAAAGGTTGGTAATTATTAGTGATCATGGCTTTATTTCTTTTCTTTCCAGACTTTTTATACATATTATCATCCAGTTTAATCGGTGGTGATACGGACAGCCATTTAATCTGTTGAATAAAAATCAAAATCATGTTCTGTCCACATGGCTATGGTTAATACTTGTCTCGTTAAGAAAAAGAATTTTCAGTGGTCCAAAGTGGGAGCATGTTTTGCAACAATTCAGAATGTAAATACAGGATGTGTAACATGAATGCAGTGTACAAATACAGCAAGAAACTGTAGGTGTGTTTCCTATTTAAATTGCTAGGGCATACCAAATAATTTGACATTTTATGCTAATATAACATGAGCATAGCTGTAATTGTGAATCAGTATACAGTATTTATACATAATTATTATCTAGACTAGAACTAAACATCCTGTGTGTAAATATAAGTCATTTTACTTTAGAAAAAAATCATGTTAACATGATCATTTGTATAAATATTTAATACCATCAGTATATAACTCAATTTTTTATTATTCTTTGAATTTCCTACAAATCTATATTTTATTCCTTTTTTTTCCATTTTGTTTAACCAATAAGTAATTGGTTTAATGCTTTGAAGCCAACGATTTTGTTTAGCCAATGAGTAATTGGTTTAATGCTTTGAAGCCAAAGCTAATCTAAATGTTTTTTTTAAAAGAAATCAATCCATACCACAAAGAAAACACTACACGTCTCCATTAAAAATACCAGTGGGTTAATCCTATTAAGGAAATAATTATTATTTTGTCTGAGAATCATAAAAGCCCATAAATAAAATTGTGGATAAAATACAGAGTTGTTGATTATTAAAGCAGATGGTATATATAGTTACCACTGGCCTTTTAAGGGTTAACTCATTTAATGTTGTAACTAAACAGTGATTTCCAAGCATTTACAAACAGCTGTATCTTGTAAGAGTATGAAGATTTCTGTCTTCTGGGTTGTTGCGCTGTGTAGTCTGGTCGATGTTTACCTGATGACGGAGGCAGTATGACCTCGGAAACGTTGATTAACATCTACCAGACTACACAGCTCAACAACCCAGAAGACAGAAATCTTCAGCTGTATCTTATTTCTGTCTGATGTGCATGAAAGATGACTCCTAGAGATAAGGGAAAGCACAGTACCAAAGTACTTTGGTTGGTGTTTTCATTAAACGACTGTCAAAAGACAAGGAAATTATCTGTGTGAACAAGGTGCTTGTGCACCTTAAGAAATGTAAGCGACTGATTTTGAAATCAGTTTTGTAAATTTTAAAATTGAAATATCTGTAAGAAAGTTAATCCAAGTTGTCTATATGGACTGTTGTTGTATTGACATGGGAAACAATGTCAATTTCTCCACCCCCACCCCCCCTCTCTCTCTCTCTTTATACTTGCTGAAATTACTAAAATATTTACACACTTATTATATAATATATATATATTGCCATTTTTAAAATGTTCCATCTAGCAAAGACTGAGAAAGAGAAATGTGGGAATGCAGATGTTATTCATTTATGTAACAGTATTTTTGTGTTTGTCACCAGAGTGGACTTAACAGCGATCAGTGAGTGAGTTATGAGCTAAATCATATCCATATCTTCAGCTGATTATGGCAACATTTCTGGCCTACAGTATTAAACTAACTGGGACACAAAAAATGTGATTTGTAAATCATGAACGATTCAATTTCTTACTGTTTTCTTCCATGCCTGTGGGTAACTTAAGTTTTATAGTTAATAGTGCACTTGTTTGCCAAGCACAATGGTACTCATTTACGCTATAAATTTAACATATTATTTGTATCATCATGCAGTTATTATATGTATCTATGGTGGGCTACAGATGCCTTTAAAACACATACATTATAATCCTTATTATTAAATAATTATTTCCAATATGTGGTTTAAATTCCAGACTTGATTCGTAACTCTGGACCAGAGATGGCTGAAGTACAGCATATTTGCATGCACTACAAATAAATTAAGGTGGTAGATCAAGAATATATTCAGTGTCAACATTATTTATGGAATCGGTTATTGACACATCAGTACCAAAAGGAAATGAAAATAAACTACATGCATGTTGCAGGAAATGAGTGGGGGAATCTGTCCTGATAAATAAAGTAAATGGTAAAAGGAATGCAATTTACAGTTGAAAATAGTTTACTAGGTGTAGTAATTTTGTTTATTCAAACTTTTTTCTCTGAATTTCCTCATATAATCATATATTTACACATTTCCATGCACAGTATGTTATTATTGAATGTAAAAAAATGTATGAAGTAAATCAATTCTTTGTGATGGGTGAAGAAGGCCTGTAAGGATTGTGTATCACCCTCATGTAACTGTAATGCCACTGG